TTTTTTTAAAATACAAGGATATATTTTTGTTTGCCCTGTTAAGATAATTAATACAGTGTTTACACTACAGAACTAGGAATAGAGAGATTCCCATTCAGGTTCTCATCTTGTTTGTTTATGTGGCTATTGTTATTGTGATTTGTGAATGGCTGTAATCTAATCTGGAATATTTATTTTGTGTGTGTATTTGTACACTGTGAGTCACTGAAAATCACTTTGATTGTGGGAGAGTAAAAGTTTGTGGAATAGAGTGAATAAATAAAGTTATCTTACTACAGTATATACATTTACTGTGGTCAAAGAATCAAACCCTTCCACATAAAAGATGAAATGATACGAGTTGGTTTCTCTGGCCTCTATGTGATAGTCTTAAATCTCTTTTAGAATTCCTCCCCCCATCCCAGTACCTACCCTTCCCCATCTTCTGGGGAGATCCTATTTGGTAAATGTTGCCACTAACCATTTTTTCCCCTAGAGAATTTTTCTCTGCCAGGAAAAGATTTGGTGGCAACCTCTTCCCTGCTTTCCATCATTATTTGCACATTAACTCAGCAGAAAAATGGATATACTAGAAATTAAAATCTTTTGAAACTCATGGTGCTGATTCAGTAAGAATTCAAGTCTTTATATAGTATATTAAAAAACACTAGAAGGATTGAAAGACAAAAGGAAAAATGGGGAGAGAGGAGAGGAAATAATAATGATTTCTAAAGGTTAATCTCAATGTTGCCATGCCTTCAGCCAACAGCATATAACTCCTGCACATGGGCACAGAGAGAACAGTCAAAACAGTAGAATAAAATATAACAAATGCATTAAAGTTCAAATCCATGGTAATAAAATAATCCAAAATTGTAATCCAGATGTATTTTCCTCTAATTTTCAATAAACAACATCCTTCATGTCACTGAGCCAGCATGGGAAGAAATGCTTTTATTTTTTCAATAAGATAAAAAAGACAAAATGGAGACTCTTCATACTAGGATTCCAAAAGGACATTATACGAGGGCAATTTGGAAATAAATTTCCATTTGGTTATCAATGACAGACACTCGCAGATACAGACCTTTTATTATACACATTAGAAAACTACAACATTACATTACTTTTCAACATAATCGCCATTCAAATTGAGGCACTGGTCATTACAAGGTTTGAAATTCCTTAGTAGTAGTCTTTCAGCACCAAATCTGGGCTATGGGGGGGGGTGATCAAAAACATCCCAATGGAACTGCTTCAAAAGTCTTCCTGTCTTGCTCTTTTAAGATCCAGCTTTCACAATCATAGGTAGCTATGGGGAACATAATAGAGCATACTAAACTACATTTGATTGCCATGCTGATGTCCTTGCTTTTTTATATTCAGCTCATGTTCATTGCTGTGTGACCCAGTGAAATCCAATATTTTATTTCTGCACTGCATTCACCACTTTAAGCTATCTGCAATCCTAGGAAAATGATTTTTTCAATACATTTTATCTCTTCACTATCAATTTCTATTTTGGTGTTTCCCTTCCTTGCAGTGGTCATGAGCTTGACTTTTTGATGTTCAGAAAAAGAGACCAAAATTCTCACTTTTTTTTAAATTTTCTTAATCAGATATTCTCTAACTTTTTAGTTTCTGAGAGTTGTATCATCAGCATACTGAAATAATTTTGAGGCATTAATCAAAGCCTTCTTTTGTTTTCACTATCTCTAACTCACTCTATTGATTACATTCTTGATCATTTGCTTCCAACATGCTAATTAAAACCCAGAGGTATTGTTTTAGCAATTTTTCCCCATGGGACAGTGGAAGAGTAAACAAAATTGCACACGTGTGCTTTCTTTCATTCCCAATTGAACCTTCTCCCTAGAGTCAACATTGCAGAGTTACCAATAATACTGCAACCTTGACACACGTGTCAGTAGAGAAGTAGAGGCAAACATAGAAAATAGGTGTTGTGGAGCTCTGCAGCCACCAGCAATCAGAGTAGATTGACAAAAGAAGAACATTTTTCTTTAGAAGAAGTTGACCATCCAAAAGAGAGAGAAAGAAGTATAACAGCACAACAAGACTCTACTTGCTGGCCATTGGTAGAAATTTCAGAGACAGGAGATTTGAGACAGAACAGTCTAAAAAAGAAGGAAACATTGAGGTACAGTATGTTAGTAATGTATAGAACATAGCTTAAAGGTAATTCTAATAGAATGATAAATAATAGAAATTGAGTGAATTTCTATTAATAGAATAGAATAGAATAGAATAGAATAGAATAGAATAGAATAGAATAGAATAGAATAGAATAGAATAGAATAGAATCTAGTATAAACATTGTCATGGCATATTGTAATATTAATTACCAGAGATATAATTTATTGGGATATTACTAGAATAGGAAGCACTCACATATCACTTTTATATGTTTATTTTTACAAAATAGAATCTTTCTCTAATCTTTATAGGGAGATTGTCCCAGGGACAGTGCTTTTGTGCCTCCCTTTAGTTTGTGTCAATCTAATTGGATACAATTAAAAAACCCATGACAGGGAGAAAAGAGTAAGAAATAAGAAGGTAAAAGTAACTCTTAAGAGGTAATCTTTCAATGACACAATTGTGAGAAATCCTTCTTATCAGTGAATCTCGTAAGGAGAATAACAATCTGCATCACTAACAGTATGGTGCTTTTGTAATGGGCTTTTCAAAACAAGGAATTCAATTTTTACATGAAATGCAACAATCATTGGTAGTTTAAATGTTTATATTTCTGGACTACTAATAATTGGGCCATTTAGTTAATCAGAGCAAGAGAGAGCTATATAGAGATTGTCAATTATTTGGTTGATGAATGGACCAGTTATTTTCTACCTTAGCTTATCTAGTTGAACCTAGAGCAAAAGAAATCAATACATGTTTGGTCTTTTGCAAATTAAAACAGATGTAATGAGAAATACATTATTGTTTTATATAGTGGGGAAAGATTTTCAAATCCTCCAATATTTTACTTGGATCTATCCTTCTATTTTAATATTATTATTATTATTATTATTACTATTCTCCTCCTCCTCCTCCATCACCACCACTACTACCACCACCATATGCAATATCAGCACATTTAAATAATGGAGAAGATAATCATGAAAAAGTAGGGATAACTTACATAGGAAATCACATTAAATATTATACTGTCTTATAAAGAAAGTAATTGGTGTCATATTAACTTAATTGTGTAATTATTCTAGGAAGAATAAGTCGGTAAGATAAATCCTTACAGGAACTAAATGAACTAAGATAAAAAAATATTAATCACCACAATATTTCACTCTTAGCCACCAGTACTTACAGGTAAGCATGAAAATTTAGTTTCCTTTTCTGTATATGTAAATTGAGCTTAACTGTCCCTTTTATTTTAAAAAAGTTAACATATATTGGTTTGACTTGGTGTTGAGTAATAGTGTATGCATTGTAATATAAAGTAAGACTGAATAAACTTGAGGAAAGTTTAAGACTCTTCTGTACAGCAATAGCAATAGCAGACTTACAGTATATACCACTTCATAGTGCTTTACAGTCCTCTCTAAAGCCATATTGTCCTCAACAATCTGGGTTCTCCTTTTTCCAACCTTGGAAGGATAAAAGCCTGTGAACTACTGGCAATCGGCAGAATTAGCCTGCAATATTGCATTCCACTGTGCCACCACAAGTCTTGTATGCATCATGTACATCTTAAAAGAAGAATATTGATTAAATGTTTAACATTTCCTGCTTAATTTTAAACTGTTAATATAAAGCTCTAGATAATTGAAGCATACATAAAGAACGGAAGAGATAATATGACAACAGTTAAGAACCCAAACCAGACAAAGAGTAGCAATAGTATCACATCAAACAATAAAACAAAATCGTGAGCAACCCCCTTCAAACCATCGCCCTCAGAATCAAAGATGGTAACCATTGCTGTGAAGTGGAAACTTACTGATAGCACATTTTTTTACTTGCATCCACTGATATATTTTACTATCTGCTGTTGTACTCTTTCACTCCTTACATATTTTAGGTTAAATATCTTGTGGAAGATGGTTTAGTGATTCATTAATTGATAAATCAGATATATTTTAAAAGAATCGCTCTCAAATATATTGCGATTCATATATGAAGTCTTCATAATTTGTCATGGAAATAAAAATGTCTTGCTATTCTGTAATACATTTTTTAAAACTTTGCTCCCCTTAAATTAGGGATGTCTGTTGTATTAGGAAGTTGGAACGCTATAATGGCAAACAAGCAAGTTTCAAAAAAGAAAAAAAGAGGAAGATTAAAAAGCCTGTAAAACCCAGTGAGAAACTTAAGTGACTCAATAGGATCACCTAAACATTTTAATTGACAGCCTTGAAACTCATTCCCCAGGGCACCCCAAAACAATTTATTCTTGTATAAATCAGCTGTGGCAAAATTGTATCCACCCCCAGGTGTTATTTAAGTTCAATATCCAATATTGAACAATATATATACAGCAATATATATACAGCATCTTAGGGAAAGGGTATTCCAAAAGATGAAAATAGATAATGTGTAATGGAAAGCTATGGAAAGATTGCACTATATCCATTAATGATTTTTGCCACTTCCTGACTGATAATTGCTAGTCATTCATAACATAAAACCAAACTTCTGCTGCCCTAAAATTTCTCTAAAATATTTTACTCTTTCCCTGATAAAAAAGCAGAAAGACTTCCCCAACTATTGTAAAAGGATGGTAAAAAAGGTGATTATTTCTCCTAAATTCACCCCAAAATGTACATGTTTATAATTAATTAATGATCATTCTTATATCATTTTTTATAGAAAGGAATCAGTTTAAGAGATTCAAAACAAAGTTTGTTTAGAAAATTGCCTATATATTATCTGGTCATAAAGAGGACTACTCATTGGACAAAGAAAAATCTTGTAGAAGAATTTATCAACTTTGTCAGAGAATCACATTCCAAATGATGTTAAAGGCATGGAAAAGATCACTTATAGGAAGTAATCAAACAAATGTTATGGAATTTATTCTTATGGGATTTTCCAGTTACCCCGAGCTTCAGATACCCCTTTTTGTCATTTTCCTTCTTGTTTATACAATAACTCTGACTGGAAATGTCGTCATTATACTTGTCACAACAGTAGACCCTGCGCTTCATAGTCCCATGTACTTCTTCCTCCGAAATCTTTCTTCCATAGATATTTGTTTCAGTTCAGTAATTGTTCCAAAAATACTAGCAGATCTTATTTTGCAGAAGAAAACCATTTCCTATATGGGCTGCTTCACCCAGTTATATTTCTTTTTTTTCTTTGGTACAGTTGAATGCTGCCTTCTTGCTGCAATGGCATATGACCGCTATGTTGCCATTTGTAATCCATTACGCTATCCAGAAATTATGAATAAAAAAGTATGTTTTCACCTAGCTGTGGCCTCATGGCTTTTAGGCTTCCCTAACTCTACTGTCTCTGCCATCTTTGTTTTTAGTGTGCAATACTGTGGGCCTAATACAGTTAATCATTTCTTTTGTGATAGTCCTCCACTGCTGGAGTTGGCTTGTGCTGATACATACATGGTTCAAATTGAGGCTCTCACAGCTACTATGATATTCATAGTATTTCCTTTCCTCATTATATTATTCACATACATTTGCATCATTATTACCATCTTGAAAATGCCCTCAGCAGAGGGGAGGCAGAAAGCCTTTTCAACATGTTCATCTCATCTTCTGGTGGTAACCTTATTTTATGGCACAGCTACATCTACCTACTTCAACCCTAAGTCAAAGTACTCTCCAGACACAAAAAAGTTTCTTTCCCTCTCCTATACAGTCATCACACCCATGTTAAACCCTATTATCTATAGTTTAAGAAACAAGGAGGTCAAAGCTGCAGTGAAGAAGACATTACATTGGAAAATGTTTAGAACAAAATAAAACTTGTTGGGCCATTATCTTAGAGCTAGATAACATTTTTGTCAACAATGAAAAATGAAATATAAGGATACACGAAAGGTTTATTATGCCTAATCTTTCTCTTTATTTTGTCATAGTTTTCAAAAACAAAGAGTAACATATACATTGCATCATTTTTGGAGTCAGCAGTGAAACCTGAAGCAGAGATGTGGACCAGATGTTTTCATATTGTTTCAATTCTGTTCAGTTAATAATTTTCCTCTTGCTAATTAAGAATGGTTGTATGGATATTTTACAAATATAACCAGATTTCTTTTGTTTCCTTCTAAATTTTCCATCTTGGTCCAAATGATTGCAATATTTGAAATTTATTGTATTGTATTTTAATAATATTTGGAGAACTAATTCTGTTCTTTTAATATAGTCTGTGTATACTATATTCTTAAATAACATGGAAAAATTTACTACCAGCATATCTATAACCATCTCACGAGAATAGAGTTGAACCTAAATAGCTGTTCATACTGAGCCATTGAAATCAGTGGGATTTAACTGAATTAATAAAGATCTTTCCCACGCCTCAATTCAACTGTCTTTCAAAGTTGAATCAATCCCTGAAATGCTTTGATTCTAATCAAATAAAATAAAATTACATCTTAGAGAAGTACATCTAATGGGATTAAGGAAAGGGACCTTCTCTGGGGTGGCTTCCCTGCTTTCGAATATTATTGCTCTGGAAATAAGATTTGGCCCTTCTTTGATATTTTTCCAAAGCTTTGGTTATATCAGAGGTCCTGGGGAATCCCAGGTTGATAGGGAGCAAAGAAGTGGCTGGTATGATTCTGATATTTCTACCATTGGAGTTGAGTGGATGTTCATGGGTTCTTACATTGTAAAATGTTCATGTTGTAAGCCAGCCAAAGTTACCATGTGTAAATTGGACAGCCATATTAATTAATTAATTAATTAATTAATTAAACAAGATACAAAGCTATGTGTTGAAGACACTCTGGCTCTTCATATTTTTCTCAGTGATTGCATTTTTTTAAAAAAAAGATGCATACTTGGGAGTATCACGAGCTTATAAGGAGAATTCGGGTGACTGAGCTAGTAGAGGAGGCCAAGGAGCTGACAGCAGACTTGCCAGTAGGAAAGCCCTTAGGCCCAGGACTGGGAAAGGTTAGGGAGGATGATGATCTGTTAACAATGATGGAAGCTCAGATACTGGATTTAACTAAGATAATGGCTTCCTGGACAGTAATGGGTGGCCCGTCCCTGAACGGAGGCAGGGTTGGGCCAAATGATGGGGGGATGGGCCCATCCACTCTAACTAATAATTCAATGAGACCAGTAGTTTGTTATAATAGTGGGGGCATGGGGCATTATAGGCGTGCCTGTACGAAACTGTACAGAAGATCAGGGACCCAATTCAGTCGGGAAACTGTCAGGGTCCCAGTGAGGGAGATAGCTGGGTGCTCGGTGATATCAGTTAGCCCTGACAAGAGGAGATCCCATGGAAAACATCACCGATGATGGGAGTGACGGGAGTACCCCCTTTAGCGAGAAATCCCCGTCCCTTTGAACTGCCAGAAACTAGAACAATAGGGCCCCAGCAACAGTCTTTGGGGAATCAAGTGCGGGTTGTTAAACCATACACTAGGTTTCCCCCTATTGGGGTTCCTCAGCAGTTGGTGAACCCTTCTCCAATGGTGCCAGTGCAAGTAGAAAGTATTTACACTAAGGCCCTTTTGGATTTGGATGCACAAGTTACATTACTATATAGGATTTTTTATGATAGATATCTGATGTATATGCCTATACAGGAATTGGGTGACCTGAAGATCTGTGGTACTGGGACTGAAAAATTCCCATATGATGGATATTTGCCCATACAGTTGACGTTTGGGTCTTCTTCTTCTTCTCCTTTTTTAAATATTTTATTGAGTTTTATAAGGGTAATAAAGGAATAGGGTCAAAAAGGATAAGACAAAGGGAAACATACAAAAAGGTTAGACCAGGGAAAAGGGATAACACAAAAGTGGGATTAATCCCACAAAATAACATCGCTTCAGCAAGTCTACCAGTCCGGGTATACATATTAAATCTTAATAATTACTCTATTATTAAACAACTTTCAATATAATCATGTAAATAACAAATTAATCAATAAATCTCATTCATTTCACTACTTAACAATGCTTAATACTAATTAATTATAATAACTTTAAAATAATAATATATTACATATTAATTATAATTTACCATATTGTTTAAAATCACAAGTATGGAAAGAGGAAGAAGAAGAAGAAGAGAAAAAAGAACAAGTTCATACAAATAATCATGGAATATAAATACAAATTATCAATTATCTCTTTAAATTTCATAACCTTTTCTCATTCTAGCATGTTTCTAACCAATAATAATTTTTCCCATGTTTTAAAGTAAATTGTGTCTTCTTTCTCTTTCATTTCTAAAGTTAATCTGTCCATTTCTGCACATTCAAGTATTTTTGTTATTATAGTCTGATCAGATGGTAAGTTTTCATTTTTCCAAAATTTAGCAAATATTATTCTTGCGGCTGTCAACACATGCAATATTAAATACTCATTCTCTTTTCCATAATTCAAACTTAATATTCCTAACAAACAGAGTTCTGGTTTAAATTCTATCTGTATTTCAATCATCTTTTCTAGCCACATGTGAATCTTAAACCAAAACTTCTTAGCATTAGGACATATCCACCAGAGATGGTAATAAGTGCCTGGTCGTTGTTTACATTTCCAACACATATTTGATACATTTTTAAACATTTTCTCTAATCTAACTGGTGTCATGTGCCATCTATAAAATATTTTATATAAATTTTCCTTATATGCAGCTGCTTTAGTAAGTTTACTATTTTGGTCCCATAGTTTTTGCCAATCTTCTAAATCTATAGAATAACCAAAATTATTTGCCCATCATTGTTTCTTTCACTTGTTCTTCTTCCATCTTCCAATTTAGCAAGAATTTATAAAGTTTCTTAATCAGGTTTTCATCTGTTTTCAAAAATATTTTATCTAGTGGTGTCTGTTCTTTGTAAAATCCCATTACTTTTACATCTTTTTCATATCTTGTTTGAATTTGCAAATATGACCACCATGTTAGATCAATGCCATTTTGTTGAAGTTCTTGCCTATCTTTAAGTTTTCTTTCTTTATCTAAGATGTCTTTATAGGCCACAAGTTTATCATAGTTAATTAAATTCGGATACGCAAATGCTTCCATTGTGGGTTTTCTATTGCCAGGTATATGGAGACTTTTGATACTCTGGCTATTGTGTGCCTGCCCCTCGGGAGTCAGTCAGGATTCGTTGATTGTGGGGATGAACACAAGCTTGGTTAGGCATTTTCTCACCCCAGTTGTCCCCTTGGGAGATGATCTGATCATAAGGGATGTCCATCCTGCACTACAGACAGTATGTCAGCATTTGACGTCGGAACAGCAGGCCCCGGCAGAGGGGGTGGGGTGATTATAGAAGTTGAACAGAGAGAAGAGGGTGATACAACCAGGGGAAGTGGTGTGTTTGAGGGCCTCCATTAGATTAGATTGGAAACAGCCTGGTCCATATCTTATTCTTGAATCCAGCCCCAAGGGGCTGAGTGGCAGAGTGGAACTCATTCCAGAGGTAGTTTCCACATGGGTTTTATGGCAGGCAAAAGGGCGGATCTCAGTTGGGGTTCGGAATGTCATGAGCCTTCCTGTACGATTGAGGGATCGGATGTTGTTGGGGCAAGTGAACCCAACTACCCCGATTGGGTCTCTGGGTGATAGGGGAAAGACTGAGGGGGAGATTTTGATGGATCAGTTCTATCCCAAGGATACAAAGCTTTCTCCTGAGTGACAGGAGAGGGCGAGAGATCAGCTTTGGAAGTGGAAACATCTATTTTTGAGAGATGAGTTTGATGTGGGCTATGCTAGGAGTGCTCAGCATGTAACCCAACTGAAGGAGGATAAGCCCTTCAGAAAGATATCTCGGCGGATTCCCTTAAGTGATCTGGATGATCTTAGAGAGCATCTAGCAGAGTTGAAAAAGACTGGGGTTATTAGGGAATCTCGAAGTCCTTATGCCTCCCCTATAATGGTGGTCTGGAACAAGAATGGGTCCCTGAGAATGTGTATAGACTACTGCACTCTTAATCAGAGGACTATCCCTGATCAGTATACAACTCCTCGGATAGAGGATGCTCTACAGTGTTTGTCAGGGGTGAAGTGGTTTAGTGTATTGTATTTAAGGAGTGGCTACCACCAGATCCCCATGCATCCAGAGGATAGGGAGAAAACTGTTTTCATCTGCCCATTGGGGTTTTGCGAGTTTAATTAAATGTCTCAAGGGCTGTCAAGAGCCCTGGCAACTTTTTAAAGGTTTATGGAATGGACTGTGGGGGGTATGAACCTGATAGAGGTGTTGGTGTATTTAGACGATATTATTGTCTTTGGTGAGACCCTTGAACAGCATGAGGAGCGTTTGGAGAAGGTATTGACAAGGCTCCATGAGGAAGGGTTGAAATTGTCATGGGAGAAATGCCAATTTTATCAACCATCTGTCACTTATTTAGTTCATGTTGTCTCAGCTGAAGGGGTGGCAACAGACCCTGCCAAGCTTGAGGCAGTTGCTTCCTGGCCCAGGCCTCAAAATGTAGCTGAATTGCAATCGTTTTTGGGATTTTGTTTATATTATCGGAGGTCTTTGGAAGATTTGCAAAGATAGCTTGCTTGCTCAATGAGTTGTTAAAGAACAAAGAAGTAGAGGAAGCGGTGGGTTGTTTGAATCTGGTCCATCAAACTAAGGGACCCAGGAAGTCTCGGGAGTCTACTCAGGCAGAATGGACTGAACAGTGTGACCAAGCTTTTGACCAGTTGAAGGGAGGCTTACGAACACCCCAGTTCTGGCTTATACAGACCCTAATGGACCAAATGAGTTACATGTGGACACTAGTCGGGATGGCATTGGGGGGTGTTATACCAGGAACATGACCAAC